CCCCTCGATGAGCAGAGGCTCAGACGCGCCCCATCCCCTTCGGTGGCTCCAGGCCCGCGCTCTGCCCGCAGGGGAGGCCTCCCAGGCGCCTAAGGCTTTGCCTGCTGGTCAGGTGGGGCCCTCCAGGGCCTTGGGGTGCCTGCCCGCCCCCCTGGTGCCTTTCCCACACCTGGCGCGGCCAGGCCACACTCCCCAGATGAGGTGTCTAGGACGCCTGCGCCCCCCCTTCCTTGCCTGCCCCCTGGGGTCCTGGAGCAGAGCTGGGTGTGGCTGGAGTCACCGCCTGGCCCAGACTGCGTCCTGGATCCCCACAGCACCATGCCCTCCCCCCGCCCCGAGGGCCTTGCACAGCGTCTCAGTCTGAGGCCTGTTGGGGAGCAGACCCCCCATTTGCTCCTGGAACCCTGAGGGGGGTGGGGTGGGGAATGGGGGTTAGCAGCGGGTCCCCAGGTGGCAGGGCAAGCCCAGTACTCACCTAGAGCAGGAGGCCGTGGGCTGGTCCATGGCAACGGGCCCCTGGGTCTAGAACTCCGAGAGGTGACCCCTCTGCACGGGGACTGGAGCCAAGTCCTAGGGAGGTTGTCCAGCCCCGTCCATGCCCAGACCCAGGTGCTGTAGCTCGGCCGGTTCTCAGAGGCCCGGCCGCCAGCTCCCAAACCCAGTGAGTGGCCCCTTTTTATGGGCTCTGCCTGCGACCTTTGGTTTTCTCTTTCCTTTATTTGGTTAAAGTTGCCTGAGGACCCGTGGGGTGTGGCAGCGGGGCACGGCTTTGAGCAGGTAACTGCAGAGCAGGGGGCCTGCATGGAGGAGGTGGCCGGCTCAGAACTCGATTGAATTCTGAAGGCAGCGGCGAGGGAAGGCTCTCGAGGTGGAGGGAGACGAAGCACAGCCCACGGTCAAGAGCACAATCTCCGACGCCGAACTGCCCGGACCACAGCCTGGCTCCATCACCCCGTCGCTGGGCCGCTTGGGACAAGTCCCTTAACCTCTCTGCCTCCATGTCCTCCCTGCACAGAGGGGAGAGTGAAGCTGGAATGCACATGCCTGGCCTATCGGGCAGCAGTCATTGCCGCCCCTGCTCTGTGGGCAGCCCCTCACTGTGTCTTCTGGGGTCCCCAAGAGCACCCCCTTTCTAAGCCCCCTTCAGTCTGCCTGCCCCACACTCAGCACCGCTGACCATGACCTTTTCCTTTTGTCAAAGGGACCGAGGGCGGGGGTCAGAGACAGCGGGCGGGTGGCGTGGGAGGAGAGGTGTCGCCTGGCTCTGCCCTCAGCAGCCTGGGGAAGGGTCCCGAGGCCGGGGACGGGGGTGCCAAGGTCGTCCCCATCTCCTGGGGTGGACCCTCCGGGTGGACTCTGTGCCCTGTGAACGCTCAGCAGCTGCTGATAACAGCGCTGGGAACGGCTTTGATAAGAGGGGCCAGCGCTGCCAGAAGCTGGGCCTGGGCCTGGGCATGGGCATGGGGAGGAGGCTGGGGGAGGAGGCTGGGGAGGAGGCTGGGCGCAGGGCTGGGCACCCAGCTGGGCCTGTGGGAGGAGAGAGGTGAGCAGGTGAGAACAGGAGGAGAGGAGGGACGGGTGGGCCGGTGTGGCACGCAGGCCAGTCCTCTCTGGAGTTCTGGGCCACTTCCAAAGGTTTCTCTTCGAAATCCCTCACAGATAATGTCCTGCCTCCGAGGTCCCACAGCCACGTCAGAAATCGTCTCAGAACC